CCACTGTTTCCTCTTCCTCCAGCTCTGTCACATAAACTTCACTCCCTTATTTTCTCTATCTGTCCCATTGCTGGCTCTTTTTCTGTAAGCAACCTGGATGTCATGGCAGGAGTGAAACACTTGCAGGACACTCTGCTTACCTGGCACCGACTTATCACTCTACAATCTGCCTTCTCTGTGCCTGCCCCCCTTCCAGTCAATTGATACCTCCACAAACTCATGGCCACACATCAATCTTTTGGTCCTTTGAAAGCTCATGTTAGTAACTGTTCCAAACTTTTGCCACTTCTTGAACCCCCTGCTCATTCCCTTCTCTCAGTGGACAGTCTTGTCTCCTGCTTCATCAAGAAAATGGATACCATCAGCAAGAGTTCCCTAAACCTTGCACTTCTCTCTACCCCCCCAAAAAAAGGCCTTCTCACCTCTTCTGAGTCATTCTCTTTTTATCTTTATTTCTGTTTTTCTTTTTTTTTTTTTTTAAGATTTTATTCATTCATGAGAGAGAAAGAGAGAGAGAGGCAGAGATTCAGGCAGAGGGAGAAGCAGGCTCCATGCAGGGAGCCCGACATGGGACTCGATCCCGGGTCTCCAGGATCATGACCTGGGCTGAAGGCAGCACCAAACCACTCTGCCACCCGAGCTGCCCTCTTTATTTCTGTTTTTAAAAAATACTTATTTTAGAATGGGGGTGGCGGGCAGAGGGAGAGAGAGAATCCAAAGCTGACTCAACGCTAAGTGTAGAGCCTGATGCAGGGCTCGATCCTACAACCCTAAGATCATGACCTGAGCCAAAATCAAGAGTCAGACACCTAACCACTGAGCCACCAACATGCCCCATTATCTCTCCAGCTTTATTATTTTTTTTAAGATTTTATCTATTTATTCATAGAAACACAGAGAGAGAATGAGAGGCAGAGACACAGGCAGAGGGAGAAGCAGGCTCCATGCAGAGAGCCCGATGTGGGACTTGATCCCTGGACCCTGGGATCACGACCTGAGTAGAAGGCAGTACCAAACCGCTGCGCCACCGGGGCTTCCCTCTCTCCAAGCTTTAAAACTCTTACTGGCCATGATCTATAAACATTTGGAACTCTTTCATTTAAAGAAAGAGATTCTACATCCTCAAATTCAACAATGGCCTTCTTGCTTCCACATCCAATGGGCACATTTTTTCAGTCCCTAATTCTGAACTAATTTGCTCCAGCTGATCTTTCTCTTGAATATTTCCATAACACATTTTCATGGTTTTTTTCTCCAAACACAGCTCTGACTCCTCCATTGTCCTCTCCTTTTGGACCTACATTCCTCTGACCTTTACATGTTGCTGTTTTCCAGCATTCACGCCATAGCTCTGTGTTCTTCACACAATAGTCACCCTGAGCAAACTCATCCATGGTTCACATTTCGACCATTACCTATATGCTCATGTTTCTGGCCCAGATCTTTCTCTTGAGCTCCCAAATCTATCTAATTCAACTGACTACTGGACAACTCCACCATGATGTCCTACACGCTTTTTTCCCCCTTTTTCTATTGATTTTTTAATCTCTACACTCAACATGGAGCTTGAACTCCCAACCTCATTATCAAAAGTTGCACACTCAACCAGTAGCCAGCCAGGCGCCTCCCATTTGCTTCTTAAACTTAACAAGTCTCCAACTGAACTGATTGATCATCTTGTTCCCCTGCTATCCTGACAAATCTTTCTTGTCTCCCAAGCAAAAAACATACACATTCTCCTTGGTGCCACTCTCTTACCCCACAGCCAATCAGCTACCAAGTGTAAATTGTACTTCCTTTTTTTTTTTTTAAGATTTTATTTACTTATTCATGAGAGAGAGAGAGAGGCAGAGACACAAGCAGAGGGAGAAGATTCGAAGCAGAGGGAGAAGACACAAGCATCGAAGGGGGACTTGATCCCGGGACTGCGGGATCACACCCTGAGCTGACGGCAAATGCTCAACCGCTAAGCCACCCAGGCGTCCCTCAGTTGTACTTCCTAAATAATGAATTTCTCACCTCTCTCAGACCTATTGCCACCACCTTGTTTCAGGCCAGACTAACTCTTTAAATAAAATTGTCCTCCACCTCAGCTGCGTAACAGCGCAATGAGAGTGATCTTCCTGAAATGCAAATCTAATCGTGCTGCTCCCCTGATAAAATCATCCCATGGCTCCCTATTGCTCTGAACATCCAGATTTCTGTTCACGGCTCCCCAGCTTTTTCATCGTCTGACTTTGCCTGTCTTCAGACTAATCTCTGACCCTCCCTGCCCGCACCTTACAGTTCAGCGTTGCTAAACGGCTTTTAGTTCTCTGCATGTACCATTCTGTTTCTTACCCTGCTCTTTCCTTAAGCCGCCTCTCTCATGAATGGCTTTCCTGACCCTTGCCTGCCAACTTCTACACATCCTACAGTAAAACGGTCTTCTGCTCTACCCACCCCACCAAAAGCCAGGTAAGGTGTCCCTACCCAGGGTGCCCACAATACCCTGCACCCGGCACATTTTACATTATTTTTACATGTTCATTTCCTCAGCCAGATTGACCTTTATTTTTTTCAGATTGACCTTTAACACAGGGTCTCTGTTTTTGTTCTTTTAAGTGTTTAGTCTATACCAAGTGCTCAAAACGTATTGAATGAAGACTCATTTCCAAGTGCAGACATGATAATCAATCCAGCTACCATATGGGACACGTTACTATGTGCCAGATGCTGTCAAGCAATCTGCATTCCTTCCTTTGTTTCTTACAATTCCCCGAGATCACTATCATCAATTGCATTTATTTAATGGGGATTTAGAAGTGAAAGGACTTGTCCAGGCCTCACATGCAGAAAAGGGTGGACCCTTGTTTGTTCTAGTTAGAGTCCTAAGTCCAAAGTCAAGCCTGTTCAATTAATCAGCAGTGTGTAGACCACTCGCTGCCTGTTCCATCTATTCTCTCCCATCCCCTTGGTTTATCTGGGAAGGTTTATCTGAACCTCAAGTTTATCTGGGGTGGCAATGTGCCCCATTGAAAGATTACATTTTAGCTAGGTGTGCAATGTGACCCAGTCCTATAGGATTTCCAGAAGTCTCCGTCAAATGCAATGTGGACCAAGTGACTAGAACTCCAGCAGGCATCGTGGGCCGTGGAGTGTCCTTGAGACTGGAAGCCAGGGTTGAAATTGGCAGTGCAGAAAGATAGAAGCCTGGGTTCCTGATAACGCTGTGGGCCATATCGGTCATGGTCTGGCTACCTCCAGACTTAATATGAAAGGAAAATAGACTCTTGTTAAGCCACCGTGGTAGCTCTGTTAATATGCAGCCAAACCTGATGCCAATGGTAGACTCTCAACCCTCTCCGTCCCCGTGGGGTCAACTCAGAGAAGAAGCAGCCAGCATAGGTGATATAAAGTGTTTCTTTATTTGAACATCATTCCACCTGCACTGAAGCTCAAATCCAGCAGCAGCAGAAGGGGTCAGGACCAAAATAAATGTTACCAAACTGGACAATGAACAGCGAGGACACATTCAGACAGAACTTACTAATGGGGTGTAGACGACACCAAGCTATCCTAACGACACACAGCACAGGCCCCTGAGGTCTGCTGGTCAGAGCTCTGGGAAGGACTGTCCCCCTTGTTCCCTTCTCAGGAAACTCCAGGCCCACCTGAAGGCTAGCCCTGAGCCAGGCAGGGACCTACGTAAGTTTCTTGTGCTGGGAAGGTCCCAGCTTCTCCAAAGAGAGGGTTCCCTTGTCTCAATCACACTGGAAGTTGGAGAAGGCTGATTCCCCTGCTGTGTCCAAGCAGAATCTCAAGGAGGCCAAGGGATTTCTCTGCAGCCTCATCTGATATCTCTCAGCTTAGCCAGTCCAGGCCTGAAAAGGATTAATCCTACCCATGGTCCTTACCCCCTCAGGAAAACAGTGTTTTCCTTAATGGGTAACATGAAAGTTTTCATATCTTAGAGGCCCAGGACTTGACCAACCAGCGCTCTCAACCACCTCTATGTTGTGGCTGCTTCGGCCTCTCCTGAAAGTCCCCAGACGAGAGCAGAAACCACCTGTTAGTGCCAGGCCCTTCCAGTCACAACTGCACTGCTCAAAGCTCAGCTTCTTTTGAGAACCAAGAGTCCTAGAGGCCATGCTGAGGTGGGAACAGGTGATCTCTGCATCTGTCTCCTCCCAAAGGCAAAAGCCAAATTGCCGGGGTTGGCTAAGGCAAACCACAAACCTCACCTTGTCCACGACGACGGCTTCCTTGCCCCCAGAGAGCCATCAGAGTCACAAGGTGGTGGCACATCAGCCTCACGTGGGGCCCCTACCTGAAACATGTTTCTGGCTCTGCTCCCGCCTCTGCTGAAGCTTCAGGACAGGGCTATGGTTTGGTGCTCGCTCCAGCCTCCCTTCCTCCCCGGTGTTCTCCCGGCAGGCACTCCTTCAGCCGGCCCAACCCGGCTCTTCTAACCACACTCCCGGGTTCACCTCGGAGCTGGCCCTTCCTTGGCAAAGGCAACAACTGGCTGGTGCATGGCGATGGGTGGAGGCACTCAGGACCCCCTCAAAGGGGTTAACCTCCCTCTTCCCTCCCACTAACCCGCACTCTAGTGGCACCCCTACCCCAAAGGGGTGGGCAGTGGCCTGGGCCTCTGAGCGGTGGCTCTGACCTCCCCCCAGCACAGGGCTCTGGTGCCACCCACCCCTGCAGCAGGGCATCCATCCCTCAGTGTCCTGCTCCTCTGCCCAATGCAGCTCCCCTGCACCCCAGTCTGCCATCCACAGCTCACCCCTACATTTGCCTCCCTTCCCTGTCCCTATTCCTTTCATCTTCCCAGCCACCTTCCTCTCCCACCCCAGGCTCTCTGCATCACGGTCCCCTCTCCTCTCCTCTCTGCCTTTCTCCACCCTCTTCCCTCTCCACTCATTCTCACTCTCTCCACCTCAGGCTTCTCCCCCTTCCCCACCACTGGCTCCCTCCCACCCCCCACCACCCCTGCCCCCCTACAGCCTCCCGACACTGGGCTTTGGTTTGGATCTTTGAAGAACTCACTTCTGTCCCCTGCCTCCAAAGAGGCTCCCCTGACCCTCCCATTCAGCACAGCCCAGCCCTGCAGGTAGAGCCCTGGGGAGGCTAGGGGAGCACTGGGCTGGGGCCAGAGCACCAGGGGAAAGGTGTTTGCTCAAGAGGAGGGAGGGTGAGGACTTAGTGAGTTCCAGGTTTCAGGAATCCTACCAGGACCCAGCATCTGATTCCAGTTAGGGTCCGGATGGGGGTCTCACGCAGAGGATTTCTAGGGTCTGTCTTGGAAACCCTCTCAGGTCCAAGTCCTATGGAAATGAACACAAGATTGGCAAATACATGGCACTCGCTGCTTTTCTCCCCTCCTTTGGCTGAGACCCACATAGGAAATGATGACAACAAGCTTCCCCATTGGACCTGCAGAGGTCTCACGCTCCTGCTACACAGTGGATCACCACTTCCCCCCGGTACTCGAAGACACAAGCAGGCACACTAGATGAGGCCAACATGCCGCCTGAACCGGGGACTGGAAGGGGCTGTCCACACCCCAGGCCAGATGGCTCTACCACCAGGTCCACCAGGCAGTGAGGGGAGTTCAGAAACACCTGGAGTCTCCTCCATTTGCTCCCGGCCAAGGGGGAAGGAGATGCCCCCACAGTGGGAGGGGAGGGAGAAAGAAGACTCCTCTTCTGCTCTCCTCCACACACACACACACACACTCTCACGCTCACACACACACACACACACACACACACACACACTCATGCCTCAGCTCCAAGCACTGCCCATTGGGCTGCAGACCCTGGGCATAACGCAAGGCGAGAGGTGGGCAAGGAGGAGGAAGTGGAGGTGGGGATAGGGTTACAAGGCCTGGGGATGGGGGACAGGGGGTACCCTGTTCAGAGGTGACCTGCAAGTTCAAGTTATGCAGAAAAAGTATCAAAGAGGCAAGACAGTCTCTGCCCTTGGCAGATGCCCGGATTGGGGGCATGAGAAGGGGCAGAGGGGTGATGCATCCCCTAATTCCCCACTCTTAGGCCCCCCTCCCAAACCCCCAACCCTGACAACAGGGCCAAGAAGTCTGTGCTGTACAAAACAGGCCAGGGTCAAGGGTCCAGTCACTGGTGAGACATCCCAGCAGGGAGAAGGCCAGGCCAGCCCCGGGTTGAGCCCCTTCCAGCCCCAGCTGCCATGGTCAGACGCCACGGAGACAGGAGTCAGAGCGCCTCCTCCCACTGCCTCCAGAGCCTGTCTGTCCTCAGACTCTGGGCTGCCCAGGGCCCCCGTCAGCAGCTGAAAGGGACACGCTGTGCTTTCCCCCTCAGTGCAGCTCAGACTCCTTTGGGAGAGGTGAAAACAGGCTGGCGCGGGCAGCAGAGAGGCCCCGAGGAGGCTGGTGGTGCCTGGAGCTCTGTGATGATGTGATGGAACCATCATGGGTGGGGGGGGGAGGGGGATAGTAAAGAGTCCGGTCCACCCTGGGCCAGTGTCTTGAATAAGTTTCTGCAGGAGGCAGGGACCAGAGGAGGCAAGGATGCAGCCAGGCAGGAGCCCTCCAGACTGCCAGGGCCTGGGGAACAGAAACCACAGCGCCTCTTCCCCTGGAGACTCTGCAGGGGCCCCAGGCCGGGCTAGGGAGGAAGGGAGAAGCCCAAGGGCCCAGGGCTCCAGCTCCCTTAGGTCAGTTGAGGGAGGAGCAGAATCAGGCCCTCCCCCATGCTGCATCCCAGCCCCAACCTCTTCAAAGCCTGGAGCTACAGGCAGGTAGCAGGTGAGAAGTCAGTCCTGGATGGGATCTTCCCTCGGAGCTTGAATGAAGGGATGAGAGGGCAGGCAACGGGACAAGCTGAGGACAGGTCAAGTCCTGGGCTGTGATCTTAGCCCTCAGGGTCCCTGTGAGTGAGCGACGGGACAGGGGAGGACTCCCCATCCGGAGACATCACCCCCTGGCCGCAACACGGAGCTTACTGTAGAGCCCACAAAATCTACGAGAGAGAGAGAGAGAGAGAGAGAGAGAATTGGTGAAAGTCAGAGACTACCAGGGCATTGGGGCTCCCCTCGGCCACTCCTCAGGGCTGAGCTGGGCAGGGGAGTGAGCTGCGCAGACTCGGAAATCCAGCCAGGCCTCTGGTGAGTTGGATGGTCCTGAGTAGGCCACTCGAACCTTCTGAGCCTCAATTTCCTCAACTGTACAACGGGCATAAGAGCCTACTTCATAAGGTGATTCTGAGGTGTGAAAAAGTCATAAATCATTGCAGCTAAGGACTTTCCATAATGTTTAGTGCATAGTAAATCCTGGAAATGATGGCAAGTTATTTTAGTGTTTACTTTTGTCCTGGAGGTCTGGCTCAGAACTGAATTGTAAGGCTCTCACCTTGAGTTTCCAGTGAGGGATGGAGAACCTCCCAACCCCCGACACTGAAGGAAGACAAACTGGGTCTCCTTCACATCACTTTAAACACTGAGCTTGGGCACTTTGCAGAGAGAGGAGAGGACACTGGGTGCGCCCACCTCACACCAGTTACATTCCCAAACCCCTTCTTCACAAGGCCACACGGCTCTTAGTCATGCACTTCCAGAAGCTGCCACCAGAGGGCAGGCCCTGACCTCACAGCAACACCACAGAAGCCATGGGGTGGTCAGGGTCTCCAGGGAGACAGGAGCCTCAGAGAAAGACAGGTGAGCAGCCCTAAAGGCTCCCCCTCCGCCACTAAAAAAGGCCCTAAAATAGGAAGCAGGGCAGCAGCATGGAAGAGCCTGGCCTTCCAACTTGGGACCTGGGTTCAAATCCTGACTGCACTGCTTCAGTGACCTTTGAGTGAGTTACTGGGCCTCCACAGACCTCACCTCTCTTATTTGTAAAATGATGGTCATGATGCCTGCCTGGGGGGGGGGGGGTGTCTTGAGGAGTGACAGCTTCTACTGAGTATTCACCAAGTGCCCCTAAATAGACACAGTCTTTCTTCCTCGTTGGACAGGCCTGCAAGGTGGTACCGTTTCCATCACCCTCATTTGAGGAAGGACAGAAAAGTAAGGCTCCCGAAGATGAAGTCCTCAACTTGCTTCCAGCACAGTCTGCCTTCAGTCCAAGGGCTCCACCACAATACTAAATCACCTCCTGCCAGATGAGATAAAAACCCTCACTGCTATTAGCCCCATTTTATAGATGAGACTCCAAGAGAGGAATGCAATTAATGGAAAGTGCTAAATATAGACCTAGCACATGCAAATAGCTCGAGGCAGGGTGTAACTATGAAAACCACTACTCCTATTGCTCACGGCAGGGAACGCATATCCAGGCAGACGGGTGTCTGTCCACCGAAGACGGGCTAGGCCCCCCTTGCTCTGGGGGCAGGGCGGGCCCCTGACCCAGAAGACCAACCCTCCTTTGGAGAGCGATCTGGCACTATTGTTATAATACTACGTGTGCAATTCCATTTCTGGAAACACACCAAGAAAGCACTGTGTAAAAGAAGGCATAGACAAAGATGTCCAGTGTAGCATTGTCGGTGATAGTAAAATCCTAGAAACCTCCCTTAGAGTCCCTAAAAGGAAAATAGTTAAATAGTTACAGTTCCTCCATCTGACGTAATGCTAAGCACTGGATAAAAAGGGTTCTCCATAAAAGGATAAAGAAAGATCTTTAAGACATGCTTTAGGGTTGGGTACAAAAAGCAACCTTACAAGGGATTTGTTTAGGATGATGCCTACTCTGTGTTATATTAGCATATGACGCTTACTGTATGTTTTATAAAAGGACATATAATGTATGTACATGTATAGATGAACATCTGATAAGTTAGCCCACAGTCTCTGGCCTCAGGTGTAGATTTTTTTTATGGGATTTCAATGTTACTTGATATATACAAAGTTGGTATGTAATATGCAAGGTATAAAGCATCCTGTAACACCTGTGTGGGCTCACCGAGCAAGAACTCCACCAATATTTTGTACATGCCTGCACACCCCCCATCTCAAGCTCCTGGCCTCCCCTCTTTTTTTTTTTTTTTGGCCTCCCCTCTTCTATCCCAACCACAGATAAGCATCATCCTGTCTTCTGTATATATTGTTTTTTTTAATATTTTTTAAAATTTATTTATGATAGTCACACACAGAGAGAGAGAGAGAGAGAGAGAGGGGCAGAGACAAAGGCAGAGGGAGAAGCAGGCTCCATGCACGGAGAGCCCAACGTGGGATTCGATCCCGGGTCTCCAGGATCGCGCCCTGGGCCAAAGGCAGGCGCCAAACCGCTGCGCCACCCAGGGATCCCTATATATTGTTTCTTTATTCAAAAAAAAAAATAAAGACAGTATAGCCATAAATATATTTATGATTAAACCATACATTAGTTAGCGTTTCTTGGTTTTTGATTGAGCTTCATAAAAATATCACTCTGTCATGTTCTGGAGTTTGATCCCCACTGCCCCATTCCCCACCCCCGTCTCAATATTGTTTCCAGGATGTATCCATTCTGTTACCTATAACTGCAGTGCCTTCATTTTCAGTTATACCCTATTCCATGATATGAATATATCACTATTTATCCATCCTCCTGTCAGTGGCCATGTAGGTTGTTTTTTAGTGGTTTGCTATTTTGAAACCACTGCCAAGAGCATTCTTAACCGTTTCTCATGAGTTTCTACTCATAGTTGGGATTGCTGGGTCCCAGGCATGCAGATGTTCGGACTTGAGCAATAACGTCAAATTGCTTTTAAGGTGGTTGGACTGTGTGCACTTTTTCCAGTTTTTGGATGACATCCCCCCACCCCCGCCCTGCCCCGGACGTGCACTCGCCTTTGTTCTCCTGCTTGAGCTCCTCCTGCAGCAGGTCTGTTTGCCGGTTGCCCAGCACGAAGGCGAGGAAGGAGAGGATGAGGGCGTTGAGGATGCCGATGATGGCCAGGATGTACGCCCAGCGCACCGAACAGTCCCCCAGGGAATACTTCCCAGTCTTGGTCCCGCACATGTCCCGGATGGTCTCGGCGTCCCAGCCGTCGGGGAAGATCATGCAGCCCAGCACGAGGCACAGAGCTGAGGGGGCCGAGGCCGGTGCACCGCCATGGTCAGGGAGGAAGAGAGAAGGGGTTGAGTACTCCCCAGAGCCAGGGCCCCCGCAGGCCGCGCCCTCCCGCTCCTCGGCCAGTCAACCGGCCTGTTAACCGCTTCCCTTGATCTGGGCTGGCTTCTTGCCTCGGAGAGAGCAGAACTTTCCAGGGGCCCATTATGCCTCCCATCAAACAACTCCTCCGGGAAGCTTTCCTCGAAATACAAGAAAAGAGCAATCCATGATCACCTCTCTCAGCTCCCTTTAGCAAACTGACCATGCTTATTCCCTCCCATCCTCATCATTCTTGATTTTTGTCATTCATTCAACAACTATTATTGAGCTCCATTTCCTTTTCTTCAAGACACTGGACACACATTCTCATTCACGCAACTGAGCACTGTGTTCAGAGCATAGACTGGGGTAAGGTCTTTCACCTACTCAGTGTACGACTTTGGGGATTTGGCCTGTTGGTGTCTCATCATGGAAATCATGGTTACCACTACACGGGGTGGTGGCAAGGATCGAAGGATGTGTGTAGGACACTCAGCACAGGGCCTCGCATTTCCTCGCTGAAGGCCCACTGGGTGCCAGGCACTATACAAGGCAGCAGCAGGGTGTGTTACTTGGGCTTTACCCTCACAAAGCTCGTGGTTAGTGGAGGAAATGTCCATTAGGGCAAAGGAGAGGGCTGGGGCCCCAATCCTGATACAGCTTTTTTTCTAGAGGTGTGACCTCAAGCCAGTTCTTTCCCCTTGGAGCCTCAGCTCTCTCATCTGTAAAATGGGAATAATGACAGTATTCAAGTGATTGTAAAGATTACAGGAGGCAGCAAATGTAATTGCCTGACCTAGTAAATCCTGGATAAATGTTATTATTACCAAAACTAGTCATAATGATAAAAATAATAGTCACACAAATAAGGAGGTTGGAGCTTAGTGTCAGATGGTGGGGGAGGGGAGAAGAGGCGAGGCCAAGAAGCGCCTTCTATTGAAATAAGCCCCTGCTTGGTTCCCCCACCTTGGCGTCCACTCAGTCTCTGCTTAGTGACCCACCTCTGCCAATCCCAACCCACTTAGTACAGGTAGGCTCTTCCCAGAGCCCAGTCTAGTAGGTGGGACCAAGTCTGAGCCAATCAGCACATTGCATTCCTCTGGTGACCAACTGGCTCCGAGAGAAGTGCACGCCCCACACAGCCAATCACAGCCAACCGAGCTCAGTAAGCAAGAGGGGCAGTGACCTTCCCCTGCTGCCTGGCGGTGAGCAGCCTGCCAGTGACCTATGAGTGTGTCTGCGGCTCCATGTTGCCCTCTTAGTGCTTGACAGCCCCACTAACAACAAGGTGACTGTCTGAGACCCTAAGGTTCCACACCAGGCCCATGGGGTGCTTAGCCTGAGTTTTAGATGATAGTGATGACAAAGAGGGGATGGTGGCCAGTTCTGCCCTCAGTCTATGAGGTCCATCTAGTTGGGGGAGGGGACGCCCTCGTTTTTGTCAGGTCTCTCCCCCTCCTACAGTTCAAGGAAGTGTTCCCTTAGGCCCCAGACCCATCTGCCAGTGCGCTGGGGCCCCTTGCTCTAACGTTTGGACTCCTGTGACCTCCCCTGCCGCCCTCCCGTGACACGACAGTGTCCCCCACATGCCTAGGTTATGCTCCTCATCTGATGCAGGGATCCCCCACAGCACTGTGATCACACACACACACACACACACACACACATTTAAGGCTTCCTCCAAGGTGAATCCAAGCTAGAGTACAGTGAGCTGCCTGGGGGCTGGGAAGAGTTCCTGGCAAAGGGGATGGCAAATGCAGGAAGCCCGGGGGGGTGAGAATGAGCTTGGGGAGCTAAAGAACTTGATAAACTCGAAGGTGCACTTTAGACACCCAAACGGAGAGGGAAGCTCTGGGGGAAATCGATACCAGAGATGCGAGATGTGAATTCGGGAGCTGTGGGCAGGTAAGTCCCGGGCTGCCGGAATTAGGGAGGGAGACAGAAGGCTCGGGACTGAGCCCTGCGGCGCAGTATGAGGTCAACCCATCCGTTCCACACCCCCACCCCCACATCCTCGACATTTCTGCAAGGCCCTCCAGGCCCCAGGCGGAGACCGCAGACCGGAGACCGGAGGAGGGTCCAATGCCCGGGAGGGAGGGGGAAGGGGGGAAGGAGCGCCCAGGCGGTCCGGGGGCTCCCGCCCTGTGGCTCCCGCCTCCCCAGAAGGCGGGGGAGGGAGGAGGAAGGGAGCCCGAGAAGGGGCCACCCCCACCCCCCAGCTCTCCGCCCCCCTCCCGCGTGCCGCGCTTCCTCTCCCTCGCGGAGCATCCCCGTTTCCATGGAGACTGCATCCCGCCGGGCTCCCGGGGGCGGCCTCTGGGCTCCGCAGCCCCCGCCCAGCCCCCCAGGAGTTCCCTTCCCGGCCGCCGGCTCTGCGGGCTCCCGCGCCTCCCATTCCTCCCCTTCAGGGCCACCCCTTTATCTTCCTCGGTCTTTGCTCTTCACAGCCCTTCGCTCTCTCGAGGGCTGTCTCGATCGCGCTCAGGTGTGGCCTCCACCTCTTCCCCTCAGCAGGCCTCCTCCTCCTCCTCTCTCCCTGCCTCTCCTCCTCCTCTGGATCTAGCCCCTCGCCCCCTCCTCTCTCTCCGGCTCTTCCTTCTACGCTGCACGTGTAAATCCCGAGTATGTGCCGAGCATTGTGCAAGGTGTGGGGACGCTGGAGGCGAGGTCCCCAGAAGAAGAGGTGTGTGTGTGTGGAAATACAATCAAGCCAACAATAGAATAGTTATGCATGTCAAGGAGTGCTAGCAAGGAAGCAGAGAGGGGCTGAGACCCGAATCACAGGGTGCTGGGAGACGGTGGGGGTGGGGCCTCTCCATCTCTCCCTCGACTCTCTGCCTCCTCTGCTCTGCAGCGTTGTAGGTGGTGGCGGTGGGACCCCAGAGGCTGCTCAGGGAATGGGAAACACCCAGAAATCAAGCAAAATGGAGTGGGGGAGGGGAGCCTATCAGATGGTTTCCCTGGACCTGGGGTAAGAGAGGAAGAGATCACAAGGGACAGCCTAGAACAAGGAAGTGACCCCGGGGTTCAACCATCAGGAGCTGGCAGGTTTCAGCACCCTCATGTCCTAGATGAGGAAACTCAGGCTGAGGTCTTTGCAGTCTGAGTTCAAGTCTCTTTTGGAAAACACAGACACAGGTGCAGGGTGCCCTGTGGAGGAGGGCTTCTCAATGGGAACATTTTTGACACTTGACTTTGTAATTCTTCAAGATGGCTGGGGGGGGGGGGGAGCTGTCCTGTGCCTTGTGGGATATTGAGTATCCTTCCCCACCTCTATCTGCTAGATGCCAGGGGCACCACCACCATGTTTTTTTATTATGACCCCCAGTCATAATAAAAAATAGTATCTGACCTCCAGATATTGCCAAATGTCCCCCAGGGGGCAAAAGTGCCCCTGGTTGAGAACCACTGGTATAGGGGAAGGCACCCTCGGGTGGGGCACCTCTATCCATTACCCTACAGTCCACTGATTTCCCCTGCTCCAAGCGCTCTGAAAGTGTTGCGACAAAATTAATAATAGGAATATTCATCATAATGAAGGATGTCTGGGTGGCTCAGAGGTTGTGCATCTGCCTTTGGCTCAGGGCGTGATCCTGGAGTCCCAGGATGGAGTCCCACATCAGGCTCCCCGCAGGGAGCCTGCTTCTCCCTCTGCCTATGTCTCTGCCTCTCTGTGTGTGTTTCAATAAATAAATAAAATCTTTTTTAAAAAAAGGAATATTCATAATGTGATACTAATGCTAATAAATGGTATTGAGTGCCTAACTGTGCCAGGATGCAGAGCTCCTGACATCATGATCTTGTTTAATGCTGCAACAAATCTATATGATGGGAAAAATCATCATCCTCATTTTACAGAGGAGAAAACAGGCTCAGAGGAATCAAGTATCATATCCCATGTCACAGAGCTAGTCAGTGGTGGGATCTGTATTTAAACCCAGACAGGTCTTTACTTAACATTTTTCTTTAAATAGACTCACTTTTTAACTTAGAGGCATTTACTTAAAAAGTAAGCTTTATATCACTATCATAGAAAAGGAAACCAGGATCATTTGCCACAAATAGAAGGAAACTATAAATATAATGAAACCAAAACAACGTTCTTAGATTCTAGCTGGATACTTTTGCCTGCCAAATGCTCTGAGCTCGTTCTCTCTGTTTAAGAGACTTAATAGTGTGAAAGGAGTTAAAGATATACTAGCACCAAACCGAGCCTTTCTCCTTGAAGCCATGAGACACAGTCCACCTTGCATGGCCTCAACAGGAAGCTAAACTCCCATTCTTCGCTTCCCACCCATTCACTGGGTTGCTTTAGGCAAAGTCAGTTTACATCTCTGGGCCTTATTTTCTTCATCTGTAAAATGGGGGTCATGACATCCACCCTACTCATTTCATAGTGCTTTTGTGAGAATCAATTGGCAGGTGAGAAGAGATATATAAATTATTACTGGTAAAAAATAATTAATTAATTAATTACTGATGAAGTGGGGAAGGCAATAAGCTTAATTTTTACACATAATCATGATGGAGACCAGTACTTTGCTACAATGTCTTCCTTACTATTAGAAGCCCCAGTTTTTAGCTGAGAACTTGACCCTTGAATACAGAGACTGCATTTTCCAGCTTTCTTTGCAGCTACATGACTAGGCCACATGGGATGGGTAGGTAAAAATGCATGCCAATGTGTTATGTGTCCTCAAGGAAAATAACTTTATATAAACAGATTTTTTTTTTAAAGTTTTTTTTTTTTTTAAATCTTTATTTGCAGGCTCCATGCACCGGGAGCCCGATGTGGGATTCGATCCAGTGTCTCCAGGATCGCGCCCCGGGCCAAAAGCAGGCGCCAAACCACTGCGCCACCCAGGGATCCCTATATAAACAGATTTATAAGGATGCTAGAATGTGCTCTTTGCCCCTTTTTCTTAATCCATTC